CCGGGGCCGGCTGTCAGTCCCGACGCGTGTTCTGACGGCCCTGGCCCCGAGGCCCGCCGAGGGCCCCCCCGAGAGGCCCAGAGCAGAGGAGCACCTCGCCCGTCGTGACGTGTGTCGTGACTGGGCCTTGGCATCGCTCGGACGTGTGCATTGTTTTCTCGGCGAGAAACATCGAGGACCATCCTGTGGACCATCGAGGAAAAGATGCACGCACGAAGCCGAAAAATGCGCGGGAGAGGGACGTCCGAGCGACGGCAAGGACCTGTGTCGTGGTTGGGCGGGGCTTCTCTCCAAGGGGGGACCGTCTGCGCCGACACTGGCGACCGACGGGGTGGCCATGCGAGCCACACGACGCAGCTGCGTCGCCCTGGCGATGTCGGCAGCGGCCTGATGTCCTCGCACGCCACGAGGCAGCCTCCGTCGGCCAGACGATCCCCGTCGGGGATCGCCACCCGCGTCGCCACCTGGCGGACCCCCGTCGGAGAGGGGGTCTGGGCTTCCTTTCGCGGCGCGCACAAGGGGGGTGTACATAGCCGTGACAAAAGATTATGCGGTTTGTAAGATATCGGAATGTCCTATCCCCCTGAAGATTCCTAACATGGCCTCGCGGCATCCGCGGTCCCGCGGAGTAATTTGCCTCCCTCTCGTTAACAGCTCTGTTATCTCAAAACAGGCGGCCTGCGTCCATTCGAGACAGAAGGCCGCCTTGCCCAACAGCGGCCGCTGATGGTTTGGGACAACATATGTTGTTGGGCATTGTACCCATTCTTTCCGTGCCCATTTCGGGCGTCCAAAGACAGGGGAGCATTGGGAAAGGGAGGGATACGAAATCTGCTGCATGCAGTTGGTTTCGGCCCCAACGAGGGGCCCATTCCTCGATACATGGCAGCCTCTGGCGCCGGGAGGCGCCGGGAAAATCAGCTACGTGAGCTGATTATCAAACCCCCCTTTTGCTATCCCCCCTTTCCCAGCCCGAGTGTCAGCGGGGGTCCGCAGATCACCAAGCGCGGTCCACTGCTCTTGATTCGGGCCTGTCTTCTTGCAGGAGAAGTATTCAGAAATTGTCAAAACAAGTTATGTGGGGACGATGTTTTGAATACGTTCGTTTCGACTATTCTTATGTTTTCAACTATTCTTATGATTCGTCAAAAATCCCCCTGTAGGAGGACAGGCTCGACTTACCACTACTCGCAATGTGGCTAATCGCAAACGTCAGAAAAAATAAACGTTTTCTTGCCTCGATGTGACATATCGTGCATCCCTCCGCGGCGGGTCCAGGCGATTTGCGAGCACTTTCTTTGCGAGCAGTGGAGCGCGCTTGTCTAGCAGAGGGCGCTCTTCTCGGGCACGCGCGCGGGCCCGAGCCGAGCAGTGGCGAAGCGTCTTGGCTTGCCGATGGGCCCACCAAAGAGTGTTCCGAGAGCCCGTTGAGGTTTCCACGAAATGTCCTTCGGACATTTCAGGCTGATGCCGTCCTGTTTTAACACGTTGGGCTTCTGTTCTAGGAATTTGTTTTTTGTTCTAAGCACTTGAACATTCCGTGGTAGGCCTATAGGAATGCCGGGACGGTCGTTCCCGCTCAGCCGAGGGGTGGGGGAAGGTCCGCAGAGGCCTCGAGTCGAGGGATATACATCTGCATGTGTCAGCCAACGTGGAGCTTAAGCATTAATGCCTTGCAATAGTTGTGGCGCCATCTGGGCGTGGTGCAATCAGCGTGGCGCAATCCATGTGGTGCTATCGAGGTGGTGCCATCGATGCGGTGCAGTCGATGTGGCGCAAAGCAGTGCGGAGCAGGGCAGTGCAGAGCAGTGCAAAGCAACGCGAGGCGGTGCGACGCAGAGCATCGCAATGCAAGGCCATGCAACGCAATGCCGAGCAATGCAAATCCATGTAATGCAAGGCGATGCGATGTGCAATGCGATTGCAATGCGATTACAATGCGATTGCAAAGCAATGCGATCGCAACGCCACGCGATTGGGGCGGCGGCCACTGACGGGAACTTGGCCGCCGGGCCCGCAAACGGGCCTCTCATTTCGAATGATGGTGCGGAGACGGACCAGGACGACCGACATGGGTACAGAAAGGGTGGGCACGATGCCCAGCAGCAGTTCCTGCTCATTCTGAACAGGGCTCGCTGTTCGCGCCGCCGCGGACGTGATGGACTCTAAAGGCAGCAAGCCGCCTGCCCAACAGCGGCCGCTGTCGGTGTTGGACAACGTGTGCTGTTGGGCCTTGTGCCACATGTTGCCGTACCCATTCCGGGCGTCCAACTACACGGGCGGGAGCGGGGCCGCAGGGGCCGGGCACGGGCCCGGCTCCTCGCGAGGGGAGTGGGAAACCCGAGCGCCAGCCCTGCCTGGGGACGAATCGATGCTTCGGAGGTCCGCGCGGAGCTGCCGTATGGTATGGTGATGCCGCTGCGCCTTGTTTGCTACATGTTGGCACCAACACCGGTGTCGGCGGTTGCCTCCATCGAGGGAGGACGATCCCGTCTCGATA